GGACTCTGGAGAAACAAGCTGCCCACCTCTCTGTTGCAAAGGTAGCATCCAGGACCAGGGCATAGGAACCAGGGGAAGGCATCACCTCCAGATGGTCGGCCCTGCTCCAACTGATGGGCCTCTCGGACCAGTGCATGAATTCTGGAGCATTTGAGGCCACTGCTTGTACTTCTTATTGTTGCAACCGTCTGCTGCGTCTATCGCCAGCCACACTAGTGAATACAACATAGGCTCCGTGCTCCACAGGATACTCGTCTTGTACGGCGCCGACTAGCCGGGCCGCCGGCTGCTGGGGCGGAGGAGGCGGCAGGCCGGCAGGCGGAGGGGGTAGGAGGCCATCTCCCTTAGCAATCCTGGTGAGCCAATGACACTTCTGAGTGGTGTGGTTGGACGACTTCGCGCCACTATGGAATTTGTAGGGTGCATCGAGGGTCTGCTCGTAAGAGAAGGCGGGCAACCAATTGGGCTTGCCGCCCTTCTGACGCTTGGGCGCTGGCTGCCCTTCCGGCTGCTGGTCCACGACTGTCGCCACCTACCGGCTGATGGAAGCCGACTGGGTGGCCTTCCGCTTGTTGTCGCTTGGATGCTGTCACCGACTGGTCTCACCAGCCGGAGTCCGAGGGGTCTGAGGTGCCACCTTGCCGGACGCATCAACTAGGATCTCCGCCTTCATGTAGGAGTCGGCCGTGGCGTGCTTATCGGCGATGATTAACAGCTCGTCGAGAGTCACAGGCTCGTCGCAGAGAAGTCAGTGCTTGAGGAGGGTGCCTTCTCTGCACCCGGTGGTGAAGTACTTGATCGCATGCACCTCGTGCACGCCCTCACAGGAGTTGCGCAGCTCGACCCAGCGCGTGAGATAGTCGCGAGTCGATTCGCTGGGCCCTTGGACGCACAAGGAGAGCTGTCGGGGCTTGGGAGGCCGCTTGTACGTGCTGGTGAAGTTGCGGATGAAGGCCTCGGTGAAATCAACCCAGCTGTTGATGCTGCAGGGCTTCAGGCTGTTAAGCCATGTCCGGGTTGTGCCTTGAAGCATGAGCGGGACGTACTTCATGGTAACACGCTTGTTGCCGTTCGCTATGCTGACGGCCGTGGAGTAGTCGACCAGCCAGTCCTCCGGCTTCATGGAGCCGGTGTACTTGGGCGTATTTCGTGGGAGGGTGAACCCTTTGGGGAAGGGCTCATCTCGGATTCGTGCGCCGAAACAGGGCAGGCCCAACGCGTCCTCTTCTTCTAGTGTCAGGGATCGGTTGAGGTGATCGATCCGATGGCGAGCGTCGTTCTCTCCGACTCCCTCTCGACGGCCAAGGCGGTCGCCGAGTGTCGGGTGCGTGACAGGCGATGAAGTAGGGTGCCTCGCCCCATGAGGCAGAGGAGGAGGCGGATCACCTCGCCGCTCCACCGCTCGAGGGCGGCCGTCCTCATCTTTTGCTCGATGGAGAGGCGTGTCCGACTGCGACTGGCAGCCGGCTCGTTGCCTCTTATTCCGCGAGCGCCACCAGTCGGCGTCCGGGACGTCGCCCCATGGTCCTGACGAGGGGGCGGTTCGTCGTTCCATCGGGCGGGCACTTCAGCGCGGCAGCCGGCTTCGTGCTGCGCGGCGGCCGCATCTAGGAGCTGCTGGACTCGCTCCATCATGTGGCGGCGCTCGTCGCTGTCGTATTTGTCCAGCTCATCCGTTACCGCCTGGGTGGCCCGGATGTTCTCCGCAGGCGTGGCGTAGACAGGGCGTTCTGCCCCGAACATGCTAGCAATGGTCGCGCCATGCTGCCGGATCGTGCCGATGCGGCTAGGCCCCTCAGGAGCCGGTGTGCCGCCAACTACCGGATCCATCTCACGTCGGTAGGCGTCCGAGAGGCGTCGCACGCTGGCCAGTCGGCCAACGCTCTCGAGAATCTAGACGCGGCGTGCCTCCAGCGTCTCAGCATCCGCTCCCTCTGGGATGGACGCCGACAGGTCTCGCAGAGCCGTGTCGAGTGGGTCTCGAGCGCGTTCGTCCGAGTGCTCGCCGCTGAGGATGACAAGCACCTCTGTGATGGTGCTCCCACCGCTGTGCTTGCGAGGAGGCGGCTCGTCGTAGACCACCACGTTGGTAGGGATCGCGTCAAACGACGCCGTGTCGAAGTCGACGATCATCGGATTGGTGGAGCCAACAGACTCCAGGTCCACAGCAGGCTCACTGGTGACGTGGAGCTGGTCGAGGAGGCTGACGAGGCGGCTCTCGGGCAGCCGGTGCCCGCGTCAGAGACCGACTCGTCGGGGAGGTGGATCTCGTCGACAAGGTTGGTGAGGCAGCTTGCTGCACAGGCAATCTCTGCGTCGTTCAGCGCGTCGAGGCTGACGCCGTCAGGCGTGCTGGGCTTGCTTCGCTCGCCAGGAAGGAACAAGGTTCCCGTCCAGAGCAGATCTCCGGGAGAAGGTGCACCTCGCCCCACGGTGGGCGCCAAATGTCGGGGGTTGGCTGCGACATATGCCAATAGATGGCTTATCATGGTGGGAGCGAGTAGAATGTCGCCGGTGCCTGGAAGCGGGATGAGGCGTAGACACGAACGCCGGCGTACTTTACCCAGGTTCGGGGCTCTCCTAGGAGATAACACCCCTAGTCCTGCTCTGCGGGGTCTCCGCATGATCACTAAGGCTCAAGTGATACAAAGGTGCTCCTTGAGCTGTATGCTAGAGGTAGGAGAAGGCAAGGCTAACTCTCTCCTACTCCGGGGGTCTGGCTAGTTCTAAAGAGTTGGAACCCTTTGCATGGGTGCTCTAGGGGATTTATATAGGCCTACCCCCCAGTGGTACAATGGTAATCTGGCCGGGTGCTGGGCCCGACTGTCAGCGTCTCTAGCCTTCGGCTTCTCCGCCGACTACTGGGACCCGCCGCCTGGTGGGCCCCGCCGACTGGTCTGGTACGGAGCCGACAGGCCGCTCCTGGCGCTGGCGGGTCTAGTTGGTGGCTGCTCAGTGTAGCAGTGTTGCTAATGACGCAGGCTTGGTTAACCCAGCGTGGCTACAGTCCCGCCGCCTGGCGGGTGATCACTGTAGCCACACCTGGTCTCATCAGGTTAATGGCGTACTCGCTTCGAGGGAAGGGACGGCCGCCTGTTGGGGGCCGGCCTTCCCCTGGTCCTACTGGTTCGTCATACGCCGTCTTCTGAGGCGTCACTGCCCAGTAGGGCCCGCAGCCGGCGGGCCGTACCGACAGGTCGTCGTGGGGAACAGGGCTTCGCCTGTTCAGAGTGATGTCAGGGAAGAATGGCAATAGTGCCACGTCGTGCGAAGATCTCCGCCTGTACGGGCACTGTGACCACGCCACGCCCAAGGAGGTGACGGGCTTTACTGTAGCCACGCCCCATCTAGTCCTCTTAATGGGGGCACGGACTCTGAGGGTGCCTGGTGGCCGCCTTCCTGACGCCGACCTCCCTAGAGGCCGGCTGGCTAGAGCCGGCTGCTCGTGGTGCCGTCTGTAGGTGGTTGGCCATCCTCTGGGGGGCGACCGTTGGGCTAGCCGGCTCCCGGAGGGCGGAGCTTTAGCTCGGGGCACTGAGGGCCGAAGCCGGCCCAAGGTTTTGATATGTTCAGGGACTCGGGTTAGGCTATCCGTGGCCCATTACTCCGACACCTATCGCAGGCCTTGGAAGGCACGGACAGATAAATTCAGACCCAACAAGTAGTGATCTTTTTTTAATGACAATGGTTTTTCCCATGAATGTGCTCATGCATTGTGCTCTAAATCGTCCTAACCCCTAGAATAAATGCCTAGTTTGTCCGCAAACTCCCAACCCCAGCCTATATTGGGGAGAAAATAACGGTTGTTCGAACATCTGAACACCAATCACGTTGGACCCACCTCACTCAAGGTCACTGTTTCTTTTTTTCCTCTTTCTCTTCATTTCCATCAATCATATGCATATGTACGGATAATCAGAGGACACGGCTGTATGCATAGACAAACAGGGGTTCAAAGCGGACATGTCCTAACATGTTCATGGATAAATACGGAACAATGTTCATAGATGCTTCGACAATACCCAAGGGAACGACCTTCTTGAGGGGACCTTTTTCCTTATAATAGCGTCGTGCGAACTTTTGTCCCTATATTAGCGTCGTGGCAATTTCTATGCGGAGCATGGCAGTTTTCCTAATGCAACATGGTAAATTCTTTTAGACATGCATGGTAATTTCTTTTCTGCAGCATGGCAATTCTTTCTTTGTACCATGGCAAATCATGGACATCTGTGGCAGCTTTCTTCTGATGATGGCTTTTCTATTTGCCATGTGCGAATCTCTGGTACGCATGACAAATTACTCTGCTGCAGCATGACAAATTCCTAACAGTTGTTTCTACTAGCATGACATTTTTTTTCAACATGACAAATCTTTCTGCAATAGAACATTCCTTGTGAGTGTTTTTTTTTTCAAGGAAACACTGCCTGATGGCGTTTTTCAAAGTCTCACGTAGGAAAAGTTAGTTCGATCAGGGAATATCAACACGGTATTGACGTTAAGAAAAATAAAAATATTTTAATATTTCTTTCTCAAAGGAAGAAACACATCAGATTTTAGTTGGAAAAAATGCACAGACCCAAAGGATCTATCCCCACTGTAATTTGTACAGGTTGTCCTGATGCCTCACAAGCTTAAATATTATCGAGGTTTTCCTGTGATTGCCACTGCCTTGTTAGTTGCTATGCTACACTCTCTTGGGTATAATCTACTACTCCATGGGTAGTAAGAAAAGATGGCAGACCAAACACTGGTAAGAAGATAGTAGCACAAATGACAACCACAGCATGTCATTCCATACTAGTCAATAACACTGGGTTGCACTGCTATCCAAACCAACTCACTCTCTCACATAGCTGAAGGTTCATCAATCTATGATCACCAGAGACTGTTCCAGGCAGCGAACACAATCTCGAAAAAAGAAGAAAAACTTTTAATAATCTACCGCGATATCACCATCGAACAAAGCTCTCAGAGTAGCGAGACTTTAGTTGACAATGATGTCAGATGTTCCACGAGAAGCCACCGTCCCCCGGCTGCTCCCCCATGAACAGACCGCTCTCCACAAGTTCGTGGGAGATGAGATGTTCCAGGTCGTCCATGTCATGCACAGACTCCACCTTTGGGGTCGCCGCATTGCCACCAGAAGCGGCCGGGTTGCTGCTCACTGACTTGAAACTGCTGCTTCGCTGGACCATGCCAGCTCCACTGTTGATCAGATTACTAGGCCCCGTCATACCCATCAAAGCAGCACCCTTTGCTGTGCCATTATTCATGTGCTGTGCCTGCTCTCCGCTAGCAGCGGTGTTGGCGACCGCGGCTCCAGATGCAAGACCACCATTTGCATTGGGAGTGCTAGGAGACTGCTGTTGCTGTTGATGTTGCTGCTGCTGCTGCTGCTGCTGCTGCTGCTGCTGCTGCTGTTGATGGTGCTGCTGCTGTTGTTGCTGATGAGCAAGAGCGCGGCTATTGGTGTTCTTGGCTTCTTGCAGCAGCTGATTGATCACATGCTGCTGGAATTGTGGACTAGCGCCCAGGCCTTGGAAATTGTTATGCTGGTGCTGGGACATACCTTGCTGGAACGACATGGGATGCTGGAATTGCCCAAGCTGAGCCGCACGGAACGACCTAGATGCTTCCAGCTGAATGCCACTGTGCACTGCTGTAGGACCTTTGAAGATACTCGATGCCTCCTGCTGAAGCAAACTTTGATTCAGGCTTGAGCCTCTAAGCATATTCTGGTAATTGTTTAGCGCAGCAGCATTCTGAGATGCCTCCTGCTGGAGCAAGCCCTGATTTGCGCTTGAGCTTCTAAACATATTCTGGTAACTGTTCATTGCCGCAGCATTCTGTGATGCCTCCTGCTGAAGCAACTGATTTGCACTTGAGCTTCTCAGCATATGTTGGTAATTGCTTTGTGCTGCAGGATTCTGCGGATTATTACTAATTGCTCCAACACCTGGAACCTCGTTATTCACATGGGGGCTTATTTCTGTTTTGACCGCCTTTGAGTCATGCAAATTCTGCACCGTGAGCTTTGGTCCAGCAGTTAGTTTGGAATAGTTCTTCAGGCCCTCTGCAGATGAACAGGCAAAATATTAAACATTTAAACTATCTCACGGATCAATGGGATCAATGGGCAAAGCAGGGTCACTATGTCACAAGTGTTTCTCTTCATTTGTTATGATTTGCTGTTATCAGCAGCAAATATGATGAAGCCCTAAAGGTGGCATACAATGTTTAGCTCCCCACTGTTTGCATCACAACCAATTTGTACATGTTCAAGCTCACAGTCCACATCTCTCACTAGTTCAGAAGTTGCATTACGACCAAATTTGCATGATATTAGCTGGGTTTTTGGCTCGGCTGGAGTTTGAACATAGTTTCTAGTCATGTAGATGTTTCTTATGAAGTACTACCTCCATATCAAAATATTAACGTTTTTGTAGGCTCAACTAGCCCAGCCTACAAAAACGTCTTATATTTTGGTACGGAGGTAATACAATAGAACATGCATTATGGCTTAACTTTTTGGAAGAAACCAAAATGCTATGAGAATCACTGGTCAAAACTGCTTTATGGAAACTTAATACAGCACCAAGGTACTAAAGACGATTGGTTTATGTGCATGCTCCTACCTATAGGGCCGAGCTTGTTCTTGTGGCTGAACTCAATTAGATCCTTCATGTGATTCACCACCTCTGATATCTGCCAAGAGGACATAAGCGATCAACATGCCATAATGCACATATACGGAACAAAACCATATAATGCACTCCATGTGGAAAATATCAAGACTACAAAATGTAATTTTTTAACAAAATGTTGAGCAAATAGAAAGGTAAATACTACTTAGGGAACTCCAGTTACCTGCAAACAGCGAACATATCTTTTAGAAAGTCCATGCTCATTTAGGCTGTGGTGATCTATATTTTTCGCTAGTTGTCGTGATGCTGATGCAAACCTACAAATTTCATACAAAAAAAGAATTTACAAGTAGTGATTAGAATATCAGAAATTTAACTCTAGAGAGAATCAACTACATATTTTTGTGACTTTAGTTTTACTAACTGGTTGCAAGCGTTTTGTGCCTCGTCGTTCGATAGGCCAGCAGGACCATTTTTAGTGACAGTAGCTTGGTAATTCTGGGTAGCACGCAGCATATGTGTAACCTGAAAAGACAAAAGCATGTGCATAAGAAAAATATAGAAGAGTACCAAAGTTAAAGCGCATCACACAAAGCCACAGTTTAAGATTTATAATTAGGTGAACTGGTTGAATGCCCGTGCTTTACCATTTCCTACAAAGTAAAAAATAAATCCATTTGGAAGGAAAATTTATGAAAAAGAAAGGAAGCTTTCAAATTGCAAAACCGTAAAATAATCGTGGTAAATATTTAGAACCACAAAACAAGACCGCGGAGTGGGTGATGTCCCCACTTGTAACAAGTGATTTTGAAAGGTGCTATGGCAAACATGAGGATTGCAATGAATTATGGCCTACTCTAAAGGTTGAGTATAATTTAATCGTCTTTGGTGTTTTCCGCCTGCAGCTATCTGTAACTTAATTGAGTAGACAGTTAAGCAAATGGATGATGAAACTAGTAAGCGTGGGAGGGATCTGGTCTTTTCACACCCCAATCACCCAGGAGCAGCAACGCCCTTAGATTTACCTCATAAACACAAAACTACAAGATGCCAGGCATCAAATCACACTGTGTATATGTAGGCGATAGCTCAACCATATGCAGCCTTTGAACCAAAGGTTAATCAAATAGGAGATGGAACAGGAAGCCCATACTGGTCTAAGAACTTTACCTGGTCTGTTAGAAACTTGCGAGTGACATACTCGTCGTGTTTCCGTGAACAAAACTCCCAGGACATAATCTGCATATGCAATCAGCACATAAGAATGATTCTCACTTCAAGATATCCACAAATCCACAAACGCTCAAGAAAAGACACCCAAAAGGTGCTATGGTATGGGCTAGCTACTACAAATAGGAACATACTTTTAGTTCTGGAGTGAATATTATTCTCAGTTGTCCCTCATGTGTGACATGTTGGTGTTCATAGATGCTCTTCTGAACAACTTTAGCATGCTCCAGGAGCAGCAGTCCGTTGGGCAACCGGAACTCGTTCGGCATGTCAAGGAACAGATATTCATCCTTAACACCGTGGTCAAATCTAATTTGACAGAGTCTAGGAAGTATTTCAGAGGTAGCCTCTGTATGATAGATAAGAGAAAGGCGGGAAACTGGGTGAGCTCAAAAAAATATTGATTACATTGCAGAGAAAAACTTAAAATCTTATTTATGAGAATTGCACAATGAAGAAGCAAAACAGAAAGGGCCCCAAAAACAGACAGTCAAGGTGTTCATCTAAAAAACAGGAGGGGCAAAGTGCATGATAACACAAAGAAAACTTTGCTGTGGAAGAAATAAAATGCCAAAACTATGAGGTTATTCTTCATTCATGACAGTAACCCACTATTTCTTATGATAAGGTATTCTGTACTGCTCCAGAGAGTTAACAACTTCATAAGATACTTTTATTTGCACTCTTGATGCTTAATGGCTTCCTTAGAAAGTAATATTGTTGATTGTCTTCTGTAAAGCTACTTTTATTTGCAATCTTGATGCGTAATGGCTTCCTTAGAAAGTAATATTGTTGATTGTCTTCTGTAAAGCACAAGACATGTACAAGAATATTGAGCTTGGCAAATAGAGGAATAACAGAATAAGCATAAACATATCAGCATTCATACTCAGTGAGCAATCTTGAAGGGAAATGTGCAAACAACCAAGGATATAACATTTTACCGTATCCTTTCCCCGAATGCGTATTACAAATATCACAACGCCATGTACCCTGTAACAAGGAAAGAATAGGAGTGTGAACTTTCATAGATCTTATACAACATCAAGGAATAAGTACCCTTGATTTCGACCATACATGCAGAGCAGACAAAGAATCAGCTTTATCAGCTATCAGCGGGTTCATTACACAAAATAGATATATATAATTAAAATAGTCATTGCAGGACAATTTCAAACTTTCAATTAAAATAACTACTGCAGGCTAAAATAACAAATATTTCCTCAAGAGGTTACACATACAAATTACGTTTCTCACTGCCATCAAAGGTAATCGATAATAAACAGCATTCAATAATCCTAGCAGAACGTTAAAAAGATGGTGTATGATACTATTTAAACATCTATTCAACATAATTTCAGATATGATTTTTTTACTAACCGGGCATGTCTGTGGAATAGCAACCGAGGTATTCCCTGGTTTTTCATATGATGACACACACCATCTTTCTCTTGATCGTGGTGCAAAATATTCATCAATGAGCTTCCTCCAGTATGTTATGGGATTATTCTACAAGATAATTTTGAGTAAATTGTACTTCCATTGTTGTGTATCTTGTAATAAATATCTGAAAATGCATAAACTCACATCTGGCCGGTAACGCTTGTGATACAAATACTGCATTAACCTTCGGGAACAAAGCCCGCTCTCGACAGGAGTCCTAACAGGTCCAGCTAGCTGAATTCCAGGCTGTGCTAGCGGCGGCCTCAACTGTGGCTGCCGAGGTATGCCAACTTGAGAATGTTGATGCTGAGGAAATTGTTGTGATAACTGATGCTGCTGTTGTTGCTGAATTTGTGCCAGTTTATGCTGCCGGATCAAGGCTTGAAGCTGTGGGTTATGCTGACCCTGGAGATGAAGAGAACTCTGACCTTGGAGCAGCTGTTGAATCAACTGTTGTTGCAAGATATCATCTTGCCGAATATCAACTCTTGGCTTCTTTTGAGCATGAAATGCGGCAGCAGCATCAATCACAGGTTGTGATGTTACACTAGATGCTCTCCGCTTCTGCATCTGCTCTTGGGGTGGACTTTGCTGCATGATGGAGCCATCAATGACTGAAGAGCCAGAAATGTTATTGGATGAAAACGACATCGGAGAGGCAGGAAGGCGCATGAACGAATCAGCATTCATGCTCGTACTTTGCTGAAACTGGGCACCTCCAGAAAGTGATGAGTTGCCATCGGTCACCAAAGAGCTAACACCAATGCTTGGCCCAGAGGAATTTGTAGTACTAACTGGAAGGCTACCATTCATGTCCCTGGGAACAAGTCCAAGGTTGGAGCGTGGGGCCCCGGACATGGAGGTCAGCAGGGTTGAGACTGAACCATCACCTTGAAGAACCTTGCTTAATGGGATAGAACGTCACTGGAAACTAGCAAGGATCTTCGGATATTTTCGCTGGAAACTGCAAAGTGTGATTATCAATAATATTTTGAAGCAATGAAGCAAATCAAGAAAACAGTCTCCGCAAAATTTCTCAACCAATGAGCTTATGAACCAACAGTCCAGGACGCATAATTCTAACTTACTAACTTCTAAGTATCAAAATTAGGAGGACTCGTTTCAGGACATCAATGATAAAAATAGCCATCATCAAAAGGCAAGTGTTAATCCGATCTAAGAGATGGAATGCATTGACTTAACTTCCAAAAGGATTACAGGTTATATGGCCGACGTAAAAGAAGCCAGAAATAACACAAATAGAGAGGAAACAGGGCAAGAGAAGTTGACTGAGACAGGATATTTCATTTGAATTACAAACTAGCACATAGATAAAATCAATGCAAATTGCCACTACACGTTCGCATGATCAGGTTCCTAATAGCAAAGAGACTTGCTTTCTATTCACCCTGACAAAAGGAAAACACAAAGACAAAGGAAGCTGGTAGTGAGAAAAGTTCAGCAATGTACAGTCTCATGCGAGCTTGCAAGATATCACAAACCAAACAGTAATAAACAAGCAAAGGTAAGAGAAAATCACAGGAACACAAACCCACCTAGCTCAGTTAGAAGAAAATACAATCTTGCATGATCACCTGCCACTTTGTTTGGATATTTAACTACAGACTATGCAGGACTATGACTAAAACAAGAAACCCTGATGATAAGCAAAAACTGCTTCAAAACCTGACTAAAACAGGACACAGCAGATAGACCACCTAACCTAAGAAACTAGAAGATAAGGTCAATGTAATGAATAAAAAGATTTAACTCACAAAGAAAAAGAAAAAGAAATACAGAAAGGAGACAAATTTTATCCTTCAATGCAGAAACGAGCGTGCCATTTTTTAAGGTGATCATCAGTCACAGGGGAATTAGAAGATTCGTTAAAGGGGGGGGGGGGGCAAATGTTCCACACTAACACAATTTGGATACTGAGTTTTAACTTCTGCCGCGGCTTTCTTGGAGGTGATTGATTATTTCCCCTGTTGATTCCCCAAAATTGGTTTATTTTTTTCTCGGAACCGCCGCACGGGGATGGCGCACACCGCGCCAGGTGGGACCCAGGTGTCGGTGATGCCAACGGTGGGTGGTTGCGGAGCCACCGTGAGCTCCAAGGGGAGGAAGCTACGGGAGCTCACGCAGGCGGGTCACATACCATGGACCCAGAGAGAACCCATGGGCCCACGTGTCAGTGGTGTGGCTCCCTCTAACATAAAAGAAAATCATAGGTAGACAAACCCACCTAATTCAGTTAGAAGAAAAAATACAACCTTGCATCATCACCTGCCACTTTGTTTGGACTACTTAATTACAGACTTAGCAGGACTGCAACTAAAACAAGAAACCCTGATAAACAAAAACTGCTTCAAAACCTAACTAAAAGAGGACACAGCACATAGACCGCCTAACCTAAGAAACTGGAGAGAAGGTCAAAGTAATGGGAATAAGAAGATCTACCTCACCAAGAAAAAGAAAAGAAAAAAAATACAAAAAGGAGACAAATTATATCCTTCAATACAGACAAGAGTGTGCCATTTTTTAAGGTGGCCATCAATCACAGGGGAAATCGAAGATTCATTGAATGGGGGTGGGGGTGGGGGGGGGGGGGCAAATGTTCTGCAATAACACAATTTGGATACTGTGTGTTAACTTCTGCCGCGGCTTTCTTGGAGGTGATTGATTAATATGCCCTGTTGGTTCCCCAAAATCGGTTTCTTTCCTTCTCGAAATCGGCCGGTTCATCCTAAACGGGATCGAATCACAAGGCGCAGACTCAACTCAAGAAATCACAAGCTGATAAACCTAACGAGCAGGGAGCGGCATTGTGCCATCACAGAGTTCACCCCTAGCTAACTTCACCCAGTTCGTAGTACAAAAAAGCTGCAGGCAAACCGATACTACCGACCAAAACAGGTAGAGAAAGAGAAGACAAGAGCTTGAGCTCCAGGCATTTATGGCCTCCCCAGCAACTCAAGCAAGACCAGAGGTACTCTTTCTCAAGATCCAGAGAATTTGTGAGTTCGAAAATTCGACGCTTTTTTCAGCTCTTGCTTTTGGTGGACTCCTCTCGGGGCTACACCTTTCTAGCGCAAGAAGAGGATTTCCGCCCCCAAATTCCCGGCGCCGCCGCATTGGGGCGACCGGGGCCCGTCTCCACGGCGAAAAATCCCCCCTGTTCGTCCCCCCGCATCAAGAACGCGGACGCAAATCCCCTCCAAGCAGTCGTGCGGATTGAAGCCGAGCCATGAATCGAACCAATCTACTACCAGCGCAGATATCACCAATCGAGTGCGGAGAAATCCTCACCTCGAGAGCTCGCGGGCGGTCGTAGTCGGTCGCTGTTCTTCCTCCTCCGTGATGCTGCCGCTCGTCCTCCTCGTTGGTCTCGTGCTCCGGATATTATTCTTTCTGCCGTTGTTTTCTCCTTTTTATTCCACACCAGTTCTTATTTCTTCTCCTCCGCTTCTGGTGGCTGCGTGTGTGTGGGCGGCGGCGTCGCCGGCGGGCGAGCGTGGGCGGCCGGCTTAAATAGATTCGCGGGGAGCGACCGGCGCCAGCCAGTGGCCCGTCCGGCAGTGACCGCCATCGACGGGTCACGGGCCCATCCACGCCCTCCGATCGAGATCCAATGGTCGAACTCCCACGTGGATGCCCGCGATTGGCCAGGTGGTGAGAACGCACGACCCAGGAAGGTCGGCTCACGCTATGCACACGTGGCACAATGCACACAACGGGACCGGGTGAGGCCTGAGTGTCAGTGACTGCGATGATGGGTGGGTGTGAATGGATCATGTGCTTCGTGGGGAAGCTACGAGAGCTCCTGCACGCGGGTGTCATGCCGTGGACCCAAACAGAACCAGGAAGGTGGTGAGAACGCACGACCCAGGAAGGTCGGCTCACGCTATGCACACGTGGCACAATGCACACAATGGGACCGGGTGAGGCCTGAGTGTCAGTGACTGCGATGATGGGTGGGTGTGAATGGATCATGTGCTTCGTGGGAAAGCTACGAGAGCTCCTGCACGCGGGTGTCATGCCGTGGACCCAAACAGAACCCTTGGGCCCATCTGTCAGTGGTGTGGCTCGCTTTACAGCTGGCTGAGCTAGTGTGTAAAATAAACGGAAGGTGTCTTTTCCGTCGATAGAACGCCTACGTGCACGTTACCGTGTATAACTGACCACGGCCCCGCGTGTTAGCATGAGGCTAGTTTTCGTGTGGGTGAAATGAGACGGGTGCGTGTAGCTTTCTATCATTTTCCTTCTCGGGACAACTGCATATCATTTGCCAAGGAGCACATCCGCTTCACGCACGCTCCTTGCCTCGCTTGTTTTCTAGAGGCTTTGCTTTGCGAGGGAGGGGTGAGGCCAGCAGGGAGGACAAGTAAGTTGTTTGAGTTTTACTAGTACAATTATTATTATTATTATTATTATTTGATGCTTAATCTAATAATTATTGTGTGCTAGGCTAGGCTGGACTGTCCATTGTAGTGCTAGTTTTGGCTGATTATTGTGGCTTACATGTTTAGGGAGAAGACGTAATCATAGGATTGGTAGGTGTTTTGATACCAACAACAATGAAGAACAAACAAAACAACACATTGGCATGGTCTTATCAAACCAAACACAATGCCTTAACTTTTTTATAAAAAAGGCAGTGCCTTGGTTATGATGAAAATGTCTTGGGTGATTAATGGGCATCAAACATGTTTATCCGTTGTGCAGAATATAACTATTTCATTGACAACTTCACAGAAATACCTACGAATTTGTGCATGGTTAGTCAAGAAACGCATGGACTTTGAGAGCACGTTCTTTTTGTGGCCCTCGTCGCATCCTCCTCATGGTCAAATGTTTTGTCACCAATGCATGAGTATGTGAGGTCGTCTTGGCCATGGCGGGTACATTCCCGTTCACTTCACTACTTGTCATCGTTGCTTAAATCACCTTCGAAACGCCAACGCACCATCATGACCCTAACCCTAGCGGTCACGAGTCTTGCATTTGTCTCGTGGCAGAGCGGCTTAGACCGATCAAGATGACTCGTTGATTTGGCTTGAGTGGCTAGACACTACTGGTGTGCCTTTCCTCTTATAATCCATCTCATTGCCAGCAAATACTACTAGGGAAAACCCTAGAAGTAGCGCGTGTTTAAAGCCTATCAGTAGCGCGGGGAACCGCGCTACTAGTAAGGCGCCACAGCTAAAGGTTAGCAGTAGCGTGGGCTGGACCGCGCTACAGCTATATCGACTTAGTAGCAGCGCTTTCTAAAACGAGCGCTACTGGTAATTAGTAGTAACGCTTCTCCTAGCACGTGCTACTACTATTATTCCATATTTCTTTTTTATTTCATGTTGTATTCATACACCTTTATACAAGTTTTCATACCGCAACAATTTAGAGAATGATTTTACATCATAATGAGTTATTACATCAGTGGGAGAAAGAACCGTGGACTAGTTTCAAGTGGATGGACATCCACTTGAGACTAGTCCACGGTTCTTTCACCCAATGATATAATAAATATCATCATCATCATCATCATATCATTAACAACTTATCATCATAATACATCATTGTCATATAACACCTCCTCATGATCATCGTTTTCCTCGATGAGACATCACATACAAGTTGGTCACTAGACATAATCACAACTACTCATCATCATCAACTCTCATAAACATATTGTACCTCATAGGACCTACTATATTCTCTTAGGACCTATTATATTATCTTAGGTAAAATAGCATAAAACAAGATAGCCCCTGACTCTCCATTATGGAGAATGGAGATTATCCTGTCTCCAATTCTTGCCTTTCGCACAATGTTGCTTCCAAGAACCTCCTTACGAATGT